CCAGCTTTTTTGGGGGCCCCGCCCGCCCGCGCCATTTGTATTGGGGCCTCCAGCGGCGTTTCCCTCGGCCCCGCAGAGGGCGCGGGCAGCCGTGCGCGCTGGCCAGCTTGCTGGTCGGCGCGCGTCCTCCCCCCCATGGGCGCAGGCGGCCCTGGCAGACAGGCTGCCGTTCCGCGGAGGGCAGGCGGCCTGGGCAGACAGGCTGCAGGGCCGCGAGCTCGCGCCTCGGAGACCGGGGCGCCTCGGCCATGTGAAGAGAAAAAAGGTGCGCCTCCTCATCATTATCTGGGGGGGGAGCGGGGGCGGCCTGAGCGGCGTGGCCCGAGCGGGCTCGTGCGACGATCCGTCGTGGTTTCGAGGCCGAGCGGAGGGGGCAAAATTTGGAGGGGAAGCGTGACGAGGAGGAAACGGGGGAGGTGGGGGAGCAGGAGGAGGAGGAGGATGAGGAGGATGACGAAGAGGAGGAGGAGGGGGAAGAGGAGGAGGAGGAGGAAGAGGAGGGGGGAGGAGGAGGAGGAGGAGGAGGAGGCGGAGGAGGGGGGAAGAGGAGGAGGAGGAGGAGGAGGAAGAGGAGGAGGAGGAGGAGGAAGAGGAGGAGGAGGAACTGGAACTCCAACAGCGGGGAAGGAAGTCGACGAGGTGGGGGAGCAGGAGCTGCTGCCGCTCCTTCGCTCGTGCGTTGGAGCCAGAGAAGCCTCCTATTCTGGGGCCCAAGAGGGGCCTTGTTTACGTACTTGGGATGACATCCCTTTCTCGGGCCGCGCTCCCCGGCGTGTTCGGGACTCGTGCCAGCCGCGGCGGGCGAGCCGGCACTTTGCCTGGCTTGCAGTGACAGGGTCGGATGCGGGCAGCCAGTCGCGGTCGTCGGTATGGTTGTCGTGGTGGCGGTCGTCGTCAGGTCTTCCTTGCTCTTCCTCCTGCTTCTCGTTGTCGTCGTCCTCGTCCTCAGTTTTTCCTCCTCCTCCTCTTCCTCCTCCTCTTCCTCTTCCTCCTCCTCCTCCGCCTCCTCCTCCTCCTTCTCTTTTCCTCCTCCTCATCGTGCTCTTCCTGCTCCTCCTCCTTCTCCGCCTCCTCCTCCTCCTCCTCCTTTTCCTCCTTTTCCCCCTCATCCATTTCTCTTCCTTATGAAAATAACTCCTCCCTGTCGCACCCCGATGCGGTCGGATGGGCGGGCTGGGCGTTCCGCCTGATACTTCCTTTCCACTTATGAGGCTGAAACCAGAAATTGGCAAGATGTTCGCATATGGAGGGCGGTTCGCTTCGAACATGTGGCTCTCGCTTCAGCGCCGACCGCATTCGTTTTAAGCGTTTGCAGGAGTTTCACGGATTGAGGGCGGGCCGTTTTCGCAATGCGGTTTCGCTTTAGCGCCGCGCGCATTCGTTAGCGCAAATGATGGAGTTTCACGGGTTGTGTGCGGGTCGTTTTCAAGATGTGGGTCTCGCTTGAGCGCCGCGTACATGCGTTTCAGAAATGTACGAACGTCTCATGGATTGAAGGCAGGTCGTTTTCAAAATGGGGTTCTAGCCTTAACGCCGCGCACATCAGTTTGGGCATCTCCAAGAGTTTCGCGGATTGAGGGCGGCTCCTTACAACATGTGGCTCTCGCCTCAGCGCCGCGCACGTACGTCTTAAACATTTGCAAGAGTTTCGTGGGTTCTGCTGGTACACCTTCCAGAAATCATCATTTCGAGCGATTCAGGATTGTCAGGGCGTAACAGTTACGTTGGTTCGCGGTGTAGGTCTTTTGGGGCGATTCACGGTCGTCAAGATGCAGCAGTCAGGTTGACACGTGGCGTTGAAGTCCTAAGAATGGTGTTTTGGTGCGCTTCCGGATTTTCACGCCGTGGTCTCCCAACGGGGTATGTTTCTCAGTGGAAATGAGTGTTTGTCTAGGGCCTATGAAGATGGAGCTTGGTGAGAGGGTATCCCAACATCGTTGATGAGTCTTGGGTTTGCAATGGTCCTCCTCTCTTATGTCTCCCGTCTCCTCCCTGTTCCCTTTTCCTCGTCCTCCTTCTCCTCCTTCTCCCTTTCCTCCCCGCTGCCTCCTCCTCCTTCTTCCTCCTCCTTCTTCTCTTCGCCGCGAGGACGAATACGCGCCTGGTCTCCAGCTGGCGCCAGCCAAGGTTGCAGGGCCGTCTGCGTCGGCCGGGTCGCCCGCGTCTGACGTGCGCTCCCTCTGCGAGAACCGCTGGGAAGAGCCCGATAAGGATCTGAGGGACCTGGGGCAGAATGGTGGTGAGGAGGCCGACGATGCTGATAATGGTGGTTGTGGTGGTGATGATGATGATGATGATGATGGTGGTAATGCTATTGTTTGCGTTGGTGGTACAAGCGGTCTTCGAGGAAACAGCACAGGAATAAGCATAAGCTTTCTCGGAGCTCCGCGCGGATTTCTTGGATCCGCGCTAGGCCAGCGCCGACCCGAGAAATTCGCGCAGATCTCCGGAAATTATTTCCTAAGCATTGTTATTCATCCAGATGGAGCGGATGATGATGCTGCTGCTGCTGATGATGTTGTTGTTGATGACGATGCTGCTGATGATGATCATGGTGATGCTGCTGCTGATGATGATGACGATGACGATGACGATGATGATGATGGTGATGATGATGGTGATGATGATGCTGCTGATGATGATGTTGTTGTTGATGACGATGCTGCTGATGATGATCATGGTGATGCTGCTGCTGATGATGATGACGATGGCGATGACGATGATGATGATGATGGTGGTGATGATGATGATGATGATGATGATGATGATGGTGATGATCATGATGACGATGATGATGATGATCATGATGATGCTGCTGCTGATGATGTCAGTGATATTGTTGATCACTACCATTGTCATTTTGATGATGTTGTCTTTGATGGTGATCATGATGATTATGGTATCACGGTGGTAATGATGCTGGTGGTGGTGATTTTATCAACGCTATGTATGTCCTCGATGAGGCGGGTGATGGCGGCGGTGGTGGTGGCAACGACCATCATGATAATGAGCACGGTAACGACTGCCGCTGTTCGATAATATTAGTCGGACACAGGGCTACACCCCTCCTCCTGAGTCGATGGGTATCGCCCTCCTGAGTCGATGGGTATCGCTTGGATCGGCCCAGGTGCACGAGTTCTCGAGTGAGTCAGTCGACCTTCGATTTAGGGGAGCGTGTGGACATGTGAGATGAGGATGATGGTTAGGACGAGGATGGTGAGGATGGTAATGCAGATGGTGGTGATGGTGATGGTGATGTTAATGGTGGTGGTGGTGATGGTGATGATGACAGTGACGATGACGATGACGATGATAATGCTGCTGCTGCTGATGCTGCTGCTCATGATGATGATTCTGATGCTGTTGGTGATGATGATGATGATGATATTTATGATGATGTCGATGACGATGATGCTGATCACGACGACGACGATGACGTTGTTGTTGTTGATGACGATTCGGTTCCTGATGCTGACAATGATCACGATTAAGACGATACTTATGATACTGATGGTACTGCTGGTGATGTTGGTGATGATCGTACTGATGAAGACGACGACGACGACGACGATGATGATGATGCTGATGATGATGATGATGATGATGATGATGATGATGATGATGATTAGGACGATGATGATGCTGATGATGCTTATGCTTAAGATGATGATGACGATGATGCTGATGAGGATGATGATGAGGATTCTGATGATGCTGCTGATGGTGGTTGTGATGATGATACTGATGGTGCTGATGATGCTGATGATGTTGATGATGCCGCTGATTCTGATGATGATTGCGATGACGATGATGGTGCTGCTGCTGATGATGACGGAAATGACGATGACGATGACGACGACGACAAATACGGCGATGATGACGGTGCTGATGCTGATGAGGCTGTATGATGCTGATGATGGTAATAATGATGCTGATTTTTATGATGTTGCTGATGATGATGATGATGATTTGGATGAGGATGAGAATGAGGATGATGATGAGGATGATGATGATGATGATGATGATGATGATGATCATGATGATGATGTTAATAGTGATGCTGATTATGAGGATGCTGATGATGATGCTGCTGATGATGATGTTGATGATGAACTTGATGACGGTGACGGTGATGATGAGGATGAGGATGAGGATGTGGATGTTGATGATGATGACGATGCTTCTGATTGACTGATTGATTGATTGATTGATTGATTGATTGACTGATGATGATGATGATGATGATGATGATGACTATGCTGCTGACGACGACGATGATGATGATGATGATGATGATAATGATGACGACGACGATGACGATTATGATGACGACGACGATGACGACGATGATGATGACGATGATGATGATGACGATGATGATGATGATGATGATGATGATGATGATGATGATGATGATGATGATGATGCTGATGATGATGATGATGATGATGATGATGAGGAGGAGGAGGAGGATGATGCTGATGCTGATGCTGATGCTGACGCTGCTGCTGCTGAGGAGGAGGAGAGGAGGAGAAGGAGGATGAGGAGGAGGAGGAGGAGGAGGAACGTCTGGAGCGCTCGCTCCCGTGGCTTGGCCAAGAAAAAGAGGAGAGTGAGGTGGATGAGGAGGAGGAGGCGGGGGAAGGGGTGCCCGATCCCTGGGCGCCCTTTGCCGCTTACGGCGCTCCCTGCTCGCCAACGATCGGCGCTGGGCGGTGTGGGGCCGTGCCGCGCATGGGGCGTGAGGTCCCAGGTCGGGGTTCGGCGGCGCGCCGAGGGGGGAAGTGAGAGGGGGGAGAGACCCTCTGTGGCTTCAAGGCGCAGAATGCTTCTCTCGGAAGCCTGGTGGCCTTCCGAGCCTTCTGTGAAGGCCAGCCCCCCCTGCCTTTCCCCCGGAACGCGCCGCCGATGGGTGCCTCTCCTGCCCTCCTGCCAGGGGTGGCTCCCTCCTCGGAGCCTCGCCCCTGCGTCCCCTCGCCGTCGCGCTGAACGGGGCGGCGGCTGGGGAGGTCGGGCAGAGCCCCCAAGGCTTTCTGGGCAGCCGCACGCTCAGACGGCGGACCCGCTCAGTTTGGGCCCCTCCTGGCGGCGGGGCGGGGCCGCTCTGCTGGCTGCCGGTCACGAGCTGGGCTGCGGCAGGCGGCTCCCGACTGGTCGCTGCACGACCGCCCGCGTTCGCCCTCCCGGGCTCCTGGAACCCGCCTGGGGGCACCATCCACCTCTCCTCCTCCCCATTCTCCTCCCCGTTCTCTCCTGTCCCTGTCTTCTGCCCCTCCCTCCTTCTTCCTCTGCTTCCTCCATCCTCGTCCGCTCGTCCAGCTTAGTTCCAAACTCGTTCGCTCTGCCCGGCAGGACGGCGTCAGCACAGGCTGCACCAGCCCAGGCTGGCTGACAAGCTTCTTGTCTGCCGGCCGATCGGCCGATCCCATGGGGTCCGCAGCAGCCGACGCTCGCGCACCCGAGAGGCCCAGCCGAGAGGGTGGCGGGTGGGGCATCGGCATGGCAACAGGTAAGGTCGGGGAGGAGCATGCGGGGGGGAGGAGGGGTGATGGTGATAATGTTGCTGGTGGTGATGCTGATGATGGTGACGGTGACGAGGTTGACGATGACAATGGCGATAACGATGATGATGTTGATTTTCATGCTGCCGATGGTGCTGATGGTAATGGCGATGACGATGACGACGACGGCGATATCATCATCATCATTATTATTATTGTCATCGTTATTATTATCATTATTGTTATTATTGTGATTATGAGTCTGATTATGATTATCATTATGATTATCATTATTCTTATTATTATTTGTATCACTATCATTATTTCCATTTTGATGTATATTTCCATTATTTGTTGTTTATTCGTGATCAGTAATTATTCGTATTATTATCACTATTACTACTTATTATTACATATAATTTAATGATGATGATGGTGACATAAGGCTGCTACCAGACGCCGTGACCAGGGGCTTCATGGTGATGGTGATGGCGATTATGATGATGTTGCTGATGATGAGGAGGAGGATGAGGACGATGAAGAGGAGGAGGATTACGACGAGCAAGAGGCACGAGGAGGATGAATATGATGACGGTGTAGAGGAAGGGGAGTCATAATGACGATGACGATGACGACGACGATGAAGATGACGATGACGATGCTGATGATGATGCTGACGATAATGATGATCATATTGATGATTCTAATGATGACGATGATGATTATGATTGTGCTGATGCTGATGCTGATTATGATGCTGCTGCTGTTTGTAGCTGCTGTTGTTGTCGTCGTTGTTGTTGTTGCTGTTGTTTTTGTTGTTCTGGTTGTTGTTGATGGTGATGAGGTGAAGGAGGAGGAGGACGATGAGGAGGAGGGGCGAAGGAGTAGGAGTAGGAGTAGGAGTAGGAGGAGGAGGAGGAGCAGGAGGAGGAGGAGGAGGAGGAGGAGGAGCAGGATATCGAGGGGGAGGGGGAGGATGCAACATGCAGGCGGCAGCAGCGGGCCCCACCGAGTAATCGAACGAAGGATGGTTTTACGGAGTGCGCAGGCTATGGTAGAGGTTATGAAGCAAAGGGGCGGAGGCGAGGTTATGGAAGCGCAGGGAGAGGAGAGATGCTGAAAGGAAGGAGTAATTGAATGAGGATGCGAAGGAGTGGGGGTGCACATGTGAAGAGTGGGCGGTGCTGTGGAGCCGGCTTTCCGTGCCGCTGGCCCTTTTCTTGGTTGCTGTGACGGTGTTATGCATATTCATGTGGCGTCCCTGTTCCCGACAGCCTTGCGTTGCTCTTGGCCGCTGGCAAGGCAAGAGTTGTGTGCTGGACAACTATTTCGATCGTACTGTTCGCTTTGGCTTCTCCAATGGTCTTTGGTCCTTGCCGCCAGATCTGTTAAGAAAGGGCCATTCCTTGTCATACTGCTCATTGACCAGGGCCTGGATTGAGGATTGGATCGGATAGTTTGCGAACGGGAGGTTAGGAAGACGCGGGCCATGAGACGATGCGGCGTAATGTGATTTCACCCCGTCTCGTCACAATATATCAGATACCGCTGAGTGACTTGCGTCACAGCGGTCGTCGCTGAACGGCCACTGCAAAGGCGAGAGGCGCAGATGGACACTGGCGTGTAGTCATCGCATTCGGTGTCGTCGATACCGTCGTTGACGTCGAAATCGTCGTCGTCGTCGTCGTCGGCCTCGCCGTCGCCGTCACTGTCACCGTCGCCGTCGTCGTCGCCGTCGCCGTCGCCTCCGCTGCCGCCACTGTAGTCGTCGTCGTCGTTGTCGTCGTCGTCGTCCTCGCCGTCGTCGTCGTCGTCGTCGTCGTCGTCGTCGTCGTCCTCGCCGTCGTCGTCGTCGTCGTCGTCGTCGTCGTCGTCGCCGTCGTCGTCGTCGTCGTCGTCTTTGTCTTCATGATCGCAGCAGTTGTCCTCGCCTCCCTTCCCTCCTGCACTCCAGGCGCCGCTTGCCCGCCCGGTTCGAGCGGCGCGCCCGGAGCCCTTAATCCGCCGGCTCGGGAGGAGGCAGCCAGGGCGCCGCTTGGATCTCGACCGTCACCTCCGGTGCCCCCAGGCGTGATCCCGCCCTTTGGTGTCGACGCTGATTGAGGAAGAAATAACAGCATAAACTTATAATACCAGAGAAAAACCCCAATCAGTTTTTTTTGTTTTGTTTTTCCAGGACATGATTTTATGTTGCGCCTCTTGGACGACGACGGCGACGGAGGTGAGGACACCAACGTAAAACTTTCGAAGGCCTTTGAGGTCTGTTAGGTCTACTAGGCCCAGACTGTAAAGCTATGTGGCTGTAGGGCTATAGAGCTCTAGGGCTATGGGGCTGTAGGGCTAGGGCTATAGGGCTATGGGGGGTATAGGGCTATAGGGCTAGAGGGCTATAGGGCTATAGGGCTATAGGGCTATGGGGCTATGGGGCGCTATATGGCTATTGGGCTATGGGGCTATAGGGCTATAGGGCTATAGGGCTATAAGGCTATTGGGTCATAGGGCTATGGGGCTATAGGGCTATAGGGCTATAGGGCTATAGGGCTATGGGTCTATAGGGTTGTAGGGCCGTAGGGCTATCGGGCTATAGGGCTACAGGGCTATAGGACAATGTGGCTATAGCGCTATCGGGCTATAGGGCTACAGGGCTATAGGGCTATAGGGCTATAGGGCTACAGGGCTATAGGGCTACATGGTTATAGGGCTCGAGCACTATAGGGATATAGGGCTGTTGGGCTGGCTAGATGGGCTATACGGCTCTTGGGCTATAGGTCTATAGGGCTAGACTTTGGGCTATAGGGGTAAAGGGCTATTGGGCTGTGGGGCTATAGGGCTATAGGGTTATAGGGCTATAGGGCCATAGGGCTATAGGGCTGTAGGGCTATAGGGCTATAGGGCTATAGGGCTAAGCGGCCATAGGGCTGTAGAGCTGTCGGGCCATAGGGCTATAGAGCTATAGGGCTACAGGGCCTTAGGGCCTTAGGGCTATAGAGCTATAGGGCTATAGGGCTATAGGGCTATAGGGCTATAGGGCTATGGGGCACCCGGGCACCAGGGCACTGGGGCACCCGGGCACCCGGGCGGGCCGCCGAAATCGGCGACGCAGCTTTCGGGCACCCGGGCACCAGGGCACCTGGGCGCCCGGGCGTGCCGCCGAAATCGGCGACGCAGCTAACCTAACCATATGAATCCGCTAGGAACCCTACACACTGATAGGGGAAAATGTCGAGGAACAACAGCATCGAGGAACAACACATTGAGAAACAACGTATCGTGGAACAACATATCGAGGAACAGCGCACAGAGGAACAAACAATCGAGGAACAGCACATTGGTCGATGCCAATCCAGCATCATCATAACAGCACGACGGCATGACCGTGAGCTTTCGGGCGGAGCTCCGACTGCAGCTCTCTCTTCCTCTGGCTAAGTCCAGTTGGAGCAACTTCGGCTGGAGCCAACGGCGCTCCATCTGCTGGGGCTCCAGCTGGACTTCGCCTCTACCGATGCCCCGGTCTATCTGCTCTCCCAGCCCCGTGGCGGTGCGTGGGGCCCGCTTCGTGTCGACGCAGCGACGGCCCCAGCGAGCGCGCGCTCCAGGCGGAGCGCCGCCGACGCCGCAGGGTCCTGCGCGATCGGAGGGCCGCGACCGTTCGAGGCCGAGCGATCCGCGCGGTGCCAGCAGCCAACGCCCACGTCGTCGCGACACGAACCAGGCCCAGGCGTCCGACGACGTGCCTTTTCTCGGTCCGCTGCCCCAGAGGTCTCGACCGCTTTCCCTGAGGGCTCGCTTCTCGCCCCAGAGCCACTCGTGAAGGCCCAGGCGCTCCCTTCTGCCTCGCCGGAAGGGCTCGAGGATGGCGAGGCTCGTGCCCTCACTCGACGTTCCTTGCCCCCCCCCCCCCCTCTCCCGTGAACCAACACCCGATCAGCATGTGTTCCCTCCATGCCAAGGGGACCCTGAGATCCGACGCTGCGAAACAATGCATCGGCGTAGAAGCTCATCACTGGAGCCCCAGACCCCATCTTTCTGCAGCATGCGCAATTCGAGCGGGATCGACATGCGATGGCCCGAGGGCCAGAGAGCGGGCGGAACTGCCCTGGTGAGCAGAGCAGTTGCAGTGCCAGGGTCTCCGGGCGTGCCGGGGGAAGCGCGAGCTCCACCCGGCTCTCCCTTCCTGCCCTCCTCCGCACGTGGGCCAGCCCGTGCCCCACCCCGCCGGCGGCGCTCGCGCTCGCGCCGCGGCCTCGCGCGGCGATGGCGGACGAGGAGCCGTGGATCGTGGCCACCCAGGAGCGGGGCGTCGCTCGGCAGCGGCCCGCCCCTGCAGCTGACGGTGATGCCGATCTTTGTGAGCACCCCCCGCGCCCCCGACTTGATGTTGGCGGGCTGCGCCGCGATGTGTCGATGTGTCGACTGGCCGAAATCCTGCACCCCGCTGGCGATGCCAACCAGCGTTGAATTGGGGGCACGGGGGTGCGTTGAAGTGTGCGCCAGCACCCTGGATGCGCGGGCGGTGTTGGATTTTGTACATTCACCGTGACATTGTGTCGTAGTACGAAATCGCAGCGGGAAGTTTCTTGCAATTTTGGCTTCCAGGGGCCCTCACGGGACCCCAGGACCTTCAAGAAACGACCCAGGATGAAAAACTCCTCCGGGAGGGGCCCAGACCTCTGGGTAGCCCCGTCTCCCCAGGTCTCCGACGATACGATTTTTTCGTTTCAGCGATTTTCCATTAATTGGTCCTTTGGGGCCCGTTGTCGGGCCCCGGGGCCACCAAAAATAGGTCTGGGGCGTGTCGGGACTTCTTTCCGCGCATGGAAAACCACGACTTCGGATGTTCGGGATCTCCCTCGTCCGCAAAAGCATTTCTGCGCCGACACCGTGGCGGCGGCGCCCACACGGGGGCAAGTGGAGGCTGCCTTCCAAGGGTGTGGGGGGGGGCTTCTCGGAGGGCCCCCCACCTCGCGTCCGAAAGGGTTTCTTGAACCCGCAGAGCGGGAGCCCCGCCTGGAGGCCCTGGGGCCCCGTGAGCCTCTTGGCCTTCGCAGTTTCGCAGTTCCTCGCGTCCAGGAGGCTGCCCGCCCGCGAAAGTTGCACGTCCTGAAGGTCTCGTGGATGTCGCCTGGAAGTTCATGGACCCTGGGAGCCTCTTGGCTCTTGCCCCTCGCGGTTTCTAGTTCCTCGTGTCCAGGAGGCTGCTGGATCTGGAAACTCCAAGTTCCCGGCGTTGTCTAGCCTGGTTGTCGAGACTGCAGGTTATGTGCGGCGGGGGTGGAGACTTCGGTTTGCCCATTTTGGCTCCGCAGCCACGAGGCTCGAGCCACGGGGTTGTACCGGTCGGCCCGTTCCCGGCCTAAACTCGCGCCTCCCTCGCCTCCGCGGGCGCCGCCAGGACATGCCGGCCTGCCACGCCGCGCTGCGTGGCGCGTGGGCCGGCAGCTGGAGCCATTGTGCCGTGGATGCTGGTCGCGCAGGGCGGCCTGGTGGCGACGAGCGGCGTGCTGCGGCTGGTTGGCGCGCATGCAGGGGCGGTTGCCGTTCGACCGCGGGGAGAGCCCGGCCGGTCCTTGGCCGCCGGCCGTGGCGGGCATCGCTCACGCGGGCCCCACCGCACCCCCGCGCGGCCCGACGGACGACTTCGCGGTCCGACCAGCTCAGGGCCCCCGCGGGCCGCTGCAGATCCGGCTGGCGTCGGCGCGGAGGGGGGAGGAGTAGACCGCGGAAGGGAAGGGGACTTCGAGGTTGATGAGTTGGCAGCGGCGAGGCAGCCGGCAGCCGGGCCAACGGGGGCGAGGGGCCGCGCGGAGGTCAGCCTCGGCCGCCCCGGGTCGCCGACGCCGGCACCATTTTGACGCCGACGCCCTCGCCGAGGAGCGCCTTGCCGCATGCAGAGCGACGAGCTGAAGTGCGGGCGGGCGTGGAGCTTGGCGGCATAGCGCCAGGACCTGGCGGTGGCCACCCTCCGCGGCCCGGGGCGGAGTGGCGCGAGGCCCCCATCGAGCCGCGCCCGTCGGTGGCCAGTTCCGCGGGCGACGCCGGCAGGCGGGCCAGCCCACCCCCTGGAGAGGGGCTCGCCGATGGTCGTGTGGCAGGGCCGACGGCCGCCCCGACGCGAGTGCAGGCGTCGCCGGCGCGGCCTCCGCCGTCTTCGTCCCTGGGCGCGCCGCCGACAGGGTCACTGAGTGCTGCGACTACGGCGGCTCCGAAAAGGATTCCGACGGCTGCGCTGACAGTAGTGCCGACCGCGGCACCGACGGTCACTGCGACGCCGACAGTGACCCCAACGATGGCGCTGACTAGCTCTCCGACGGGCTCGCCGACTGCAGCGCCGACCGCGGCGCCAACAACCGCGCCGACGGCCGCGCCGACGGCGGCGCCGACAGCTGCGCCGACCGACGGCGGCGCTGTCAGCAGCGCTGGCTGCGGCACCGACCGCTGCGCCGGCTGCGGCGCCAGCGGCGGCGCCGGCGGCTTTCTCGACGACTGCGCCGATGGTCTCGCCGACAGCGGCGCCGTCAGCATCGCGGGCTGCGGCGCCGACAGCCGCGCCGACTGGGGCATTTGCGGCCCCGCCAGCAGTCTCCGCGACATGTGCGCTTGCGGCGGCGTCGACTGCCCCGCCGACTCTGGAGCCGACGGCGGCGCCGACAACTCTGCCGACGAGGTGGGCCGCGGAGGCATGCCCACTGGCACCTCGGACCGCCTGCTACTGCTGGACAACGGACAGAAGGCTGCCGAGGAGGTTGGCGCTGCAAATGTGAGCCGCAGGACGACTGGTACGCCGACGGCCACGCCGACGGCCCCGCTGACAGCGGCGCCGACGGCGGCACCAGCAGCTGCACCGACTGGGGGACCGGCAGCTGTGCCGACATCTGCGCGAACTGCTCTGCCAACGGGCGCCCCGCCAGTTGTGCCGACCTCGGCGTCGATTGCGGCGCTGCTTGCGGCGCTGACAGCCTCGCTGGCAGCTGCGCCGTCTGCGGCGCCGACGAAGGATTCGACCGCCTCGCTGGCAGCGGCGCAGACGGCGGCTCCACCGAGGCTGCCGACCGGTCCGCCGACGACGGTGCCGACTGCGGCCTTTTGGTCGCGGCGCCTACGGTGGCGGTGACAGCTGCACCGACTGCGCTGCTGACTGCTGCGCCGACCGCGGCGCTGACCACCGCGGCAACAGCTGTGCCGACAGCGGCGCTGAGAGCTGAGCTGGCCGCGGCACTGGCAGATGCGCAGACGGCGTCACCGACGGCTACGCCGATAGCTGTGTCGACCGCGGCTCCGACAGTTACGCCGGCAGCTGCGCTGACGGCCGCCCCGACTGGTTCGCCGACAACTGCGCCTGCTGCGGCGCCGGGTGCGGCCCCAACGGCGGCGCCGACTGCGGAGCTGGCAGCGGCGCCGACGACCGCGCCCAATTCAGAACCGTCAGCTGCCCCGGTAGGTGCGCCGACAGCAGCGCCAGCAAGTGCGTCGACAGCTGCGCGGACGATGGCGCCGACAGCCCCGCCGACAGCTGCGCTGACTGTGGTGTCGACGGCCGCGCCGATTGTACTATTCACGGCCTCGACGACCGCCGCGCAGACAGCGGCGCCCAAAGGGTCAGCTATCATCGCGCCGACATCCGCGCCGGCTGATGCGCCGACCGTTGCGCCGACAAGTTCACCTCGATCCGGCCGCGCCGACCGCGATGCGGACAGCCTTGCCGACAGCGGCCCCGACAGCTGCGCCGACGGTGGCATCGGCTGCGGCACCAGCGAGGGCTTCGACTGGTGCGCCGACAACGGCGTCGACTGCGGCGCCAGTAGCCGGGGCGGCTGTAAGGTCGACAGCTACGCGGGCAGCGGCCTCGACTGCGGCGCCGACATCAGTGCCGACAGGTGCATCGACAGCGGCGCCGATTGCGGTGCCAGCAGCGGCGCGATCAACGATGCCGAGCGGTTCCCCACCAGCGGCGCCGACAGCCGCGCCGACTGCGGCACCGACGTCCGCGCTGACCACGGCGCCGACGGCGGCGCCAAAGGCAGCACGACGGCTGCGCCGACAGCTGGGGCAACGAGGGCACCGAGCAGTTCTTCGACAAGTTCGCCAGCTCTAGCACCGACAGCGGCGTCAACAGCTACGCCGACCGCCATGCCAACAACGGCGCCGACAGCCGCGCCGATTGCGGCGCCGACAGCCGCGCCGACTACGGCACCGACAGCTGAATCGACTGCGCTGCGCCGACGGCGGCACCGGCCGCCTCGCCGTCATCGGCGACGACAGCGGCGCCGTCAGGTGGGCCGACTGCGGCGCCGACGTCAGCGCCAACGCGACATCAGCGCCGACAGCGGCGCAGACAACTGCGCCGAAGGCAGCGCCCACGGCAGCGCCCACGGCAGCGCCCACGGCAGCGCCGACAGCGGGGGCAACGGGGGCACCGACCATCTCTTCGACAAGTTCGCCGGCTCCGGCGCTGACAGCGGCGCCGACATCTGCGCTGACTGCCATGCCGACAACGGCGCCGACAGCCGCGCCGACTACGGCACCGAAGCTGCATCGACTGCGGCACTGGCAGCTGCGCCGACGGCGGCACTGGCCGCCTCGCAGCGGCGCCGTCAGGTGGGCCGTCTGCGGCGCCGAGAGCAGCGCCGACAACGTTGCCGACGGCGGCGCCGACATGTGAAACGACCGCGGCGCCGACAGCTGCGCTGGTAGCGGCACCGATGGTAGCGCCGACAGCGCGGCCGACGGCGGCGCTGGCCGCCGCGACTGCTGCGCTGACTGCCGCGCCGAAGGTCGCGCCGACTTCGGCGCCGACATCTGCGCCGATTGCGGCGCGGACCGCCCGGCGCAGTGCCTTTCCGACTGCTTTGCCGACAGCCGCGCCGACTGCTGCACCGACGGCGGCGACGACTGATCCCCCGACGGCCGCGCTGACCGTGGCGCCGACAGCCGCCCAGACAGTGCCGCCGACAGCTGCGCCGACTGCATCGCCGACAGCAGCGACGCCGACATCTGCGCCAAGAGCGGCGCCGACAGCGACCCCGCCCGCCGCGTCGACCGCTGCGCCGACCGCGGCGCCGGTGCGCTCGCTGCGGCACCGGCCGCCGCGCTCACCGGGGCGCCGACACAGGCGCCGACAGCGTCGCCAGCAGCGGTGCCGACCCCTGCGCTGACGGCTACGCGGGCGTCGTCGCCGATGACGACGACGCCGGCTGCCGCCCCGACAGCTTCGCTGGTAACCGCGCCGACTGCGGCGCCAACGGATATATCGACCTTTTCGCCTTCAGCTGCGCCGACCGCGGCGAACGTCCGCTCCGAGGACAGTGGCGCCGACAGTGGCGCAGTCAGTTGCGCCGACTGTGGCGCCGACGCGCGTGCCGAACGCCATGGCGCCCCGCGTCGAAGCTGGGGGCGAGTTCGAGAAGATTAACAGCAAGGCCGCCCTCTGCATGGAAACTGGCTGCCAGACGCTCGCCAAGAGCCGCTGGCGCATCGCTTGCGACCCGTGCGTCGTCGGCGCCAGCGCTTTGCTGTCCAGCTCTGTGCTGGCGCGTGGAGCTCCGCGACCCGCCAGCCCTTGGGGAGGGGCGCTGTGGGCGCCGGAGGAGTCCGTGGGGAGCTGGCCTCTGGGCGGGGGCTCGGTGGGCAGCGCGAGAGGATCCCGCGGGGGCCCGCTTCCGTGCGGGGGCCAAGTTGCACCAGGGGTACTGGCGCTGGGGAGGGCAGGCGAGATTGAGCATCGCGTCGACATCATGCGTTGCGGAGTCGAGCATTGCCGGCCCACGACGTCCTCGAGCACCGCGCCGCTGTCCAGCACTACGGTTGCGAGAACTACCGCGCCACGTCTCGGTCAGTCTGGGCTGACGCTGCAGCGGGCCTGCTGGCGCCGGCGGCGAGCTGGCGGGCGGCTGTTGTGAGCGCCAGCGCGGGGCCCTAACTCGAGACTGCTGACTGGCGTGGGCGAGGCGCCCCGGGTAACCAGCTCGGCGCCAGCCGCGAGGAGGCTGAGTTGGGCAGGCCACCGCGTCGCCATCAAGCTCTGCGTGGTAGGGCGCTCAGCGCCCTGGCGTGGGCAGCCCTCGTGGCGACCCCGGCGTGGCGCAGCGTGGGGCTGCGTTGCGTTGCCATTCGCTGCCGGCTCGTTTCAACGGCGCCCGCTTGGGGCGCGTTGGCCCGTGACCAGCTGGGTGGCCGTTCGTGGCATTAGTTGTTCGCTGTCTCCTGAGTGAGGTTTTCGGGGCCCGGCTGCTCGCCAGGCCCGGAGCGCGCTATCTCGTGCTGCGGTGTGCGGCCGTTGTCGCGTCGGGAACGCAGCCGCTTCGCTCGGCGCAGGCGGCCGCGGGTTCAGCGCGGCGCGGGGTCGCCCGAGCATCGCTTGGCGGCCCCTCGCCGCCCAGGCACGCGGGCCCGGCCGCGCGTGGAGGCCCGCCGCCGCGAGCTTCGTGGGGGCCGCGACGCGCTGGGGCCGCGCCCAGGGGGGCCTCGGCGAAATAGGCAGCTCTCGACCGCCGGCGCGGCGCCTGCGTGGGCGGGCCCAGCTGGCCCGCGGTCTGGTTTTCTGTTTCTCTGATGGCAGGGCCGCCGGGCTGCCTTGGTCGGCGCGCCGGACCGGGCCCCCGGTGCTCCATGGAGGAGCCCAGCGGCGCCCTCAACGCCCGCGTCCTTGGCGGCCCTGCACCTGCCCAGCAGGCACCACACCTCCTTTTCCTTTTCGCTCCTTCCTTTCCCTTTTGGTGCGCAGCACCGCCTCGCACTCGGCTGCTTTGTCGAGTGTCGGCGAGTTCGTCGAAGCGGCCCGGCGTTTGCCCGGGAAGGCCTCGCGGTTGCAGGTAATTGGTCACTCTTGTTGGCTGCGCTTTTGGTTTTGTTTTGGTGGTGGCCGACGATTCTGCGAGCGTGCCGACATGGCGCGCAGCCATGGTGTGCGCCCAGCTTGGGCTCGTGCTGAGGAGTGGGC